TATATATATATATATATATAATTTCTTTATCATTAGTCAAGTGACAATATGCAACTTTTTATGGAGACAAAAGAATTTGAGTAAACACCATTGACTTAGACTAAGAAAATTGAGGAATAGTTGCAAGTTCTAAAAATCCACACTTGTTCATGGAATGAATTACATGTTCATTAATTGAAATACTTATGTAAATTACAAATATTCCATGCTCGAGGGATCGATGTCCACAAAAGTGTTTCCAATTTATATGTTCCTAAATCAATTTTCAACTTCTCAGTTAGCTTGCCTTGTGAAGAGTTCTTTCTTCTAATCTTGACTCTACTTAACACTAGATCCCCTTCTTCAAATTCTTTAACTACCAACTTTTTATTGTACTTGTTGATAGTTGGATTTTAAGGTTGTTTCCTAGATAGGTGTTATGTCTCTTCTTTCTTTGATTAAGTCTATCTCTTCTTGTAAAGTCAAGTTGTTAAGTTCGTGGTTCGAGTTGGAGATTATCCAAGTCAACTTACTAATATCTACTAGAATGATGACCTTAATTCCATAGTGAGTTAGAATGGTGGTTCCATAATCATTGAATAAAGGTGGTTTTGTATGCCCAAAAAATGCATCAGGGTTGCTCTATCTAATTACCTCTTGCTTGCTCTAGTATTCTTTTCAAACCACTCAAGCAATGTTTTAAAAACAATCTCAGACTAGTTGAATTAAAATTAGATAATCAAGTTGATTAAAGCCTTTTATTAGATTAGATATGTCATTAACTTGTTATGAATCGGTTTAACTCAATGGGTTTTACGAATAAAATGGTGAAGTTGATGCTACAACTCAAATAGGTTTCCATTATAGTCATCTACGCTTCCCATCGCAATGGTTGCCAACTTTATCTTCTACATTGCCTAATGTGCTCAATTGTGTGGCCTAGACTCAACACATTCCTCGTGACACTTGTATAGGGTTAGGAGCTTCTTAAAATTAAAAAAATGTAAAGATTTTTACCTAAGATTGGACATTCACGGCCTGTGTGGTTTTTGTTGGGGATTTCAATATGCTCCTCTTCAACCTTCATAAAGTTTAACCATCATACAACTTTGTCATTGAAAGTTGTTGTAGTTGCTTCAAAACTATGAAACTCATGACACGATCAAAGAAAGGAAAAATGAAGGGGTCCATAGTGATTTTCATGAATAAGTGGTTGTTCCTGGTGGAGGAATTAGTCATGAGGGAACCTAATACGGGCATTGAAAACACAATGGTGGTTGAAGAATGTGGCCCAAGTAGTCATTCCCTTTTGCTTGCATTAATGTGATCAAACAATTTTGTTGTTCCATGGTATCTCATTTTTGTAGGAGAAATGTGACAATTTTAGCCATAAGAATCATCAATGGTAGCATTAAGGTTGAAATTACCACTACACCAAGACTTTCTTAATAAGCCTTAACAGTTGCACCAACTACAAGTGGTATTGGTCCAATTGGAGGAACTCATACTTCCAAAGTTACAAATAGGGATGGCAACGGGGCGGGTCGGGTACGGGTTTTATGATACCCGTCCCCGTCCCCGCGACATAAACTCATCCCCGTACCCGTACCCGTACCCGTCGGGTATGTGATTTTTATCCCCATCCCCGTCCCCGTCGGGTATCGG